GCTGCGGAGATCCGAGGGCAAAGGCGCTCGGAACACACCGCAGCCTGCGCTGGCCTCATGGGGAGGGTGGTCGTAAAGGATCCGAGGGGCTGAAAGCCCAGAATGAGGAAAAACCGGGAGGACGGGAGGGGCTGGAGGGACCAAGGGAGTTTGGGAACTGGGGAAACTGGAGCAACTGGGACAACCGGAGGACTGGAACACTGAAAACCACGTTCGAACAGAAATCTCCGCCGCCTGGACCCTGGGAATCGGGAAAGACAGACATCCAGTAGGACGTCTCTACCCTCTTTCTCGAGTTGGGGAGCCGATGTGCTCTCTCTCTTTTTAGTGCAACCTTGACGGCAGGCCATTGCACTCTAGGCCTGGGCTCAAGCTCTCTGCCCAGAGACGCCTCTCTGCAGCCTGGGTCATCTTAGCCTTCCCATCCCCCTAGACCCCGGGGCAGTTCCCAGGCGCCAAAAGCTATTAGGGTCCCGGGCCTCATTGCTCCTACCCAACCCCTTCTGGGCTGCCCCGCCCCGGCCTGAGGCTCCATTCCTGCTGCTTCACCCTGTTCCTTTCTTGTGGTAAGGCTGCCAGAGCCTGAGTAGGCACCCGGGTACTCCTCTTCCCTGCCTCTCCCAGACTATCAATGTTACCTCTCTGGTCCCAGAGGCGGGAGGTTGGTAGGGTCAGCTGAGCCCTGCTTGGGGAAGGCCTTAAATCATTGGCCTCTTCCTTGCCAGCCCACACACAGGCAAGATTCCAAGGCTCTAGGGAGAGATGGAGAGAAGACTGGGACCTTCGGGTCATAGATTTGTGGTGGAAAAATCGGTGGAGGTTTTAAGGTTTCTTGAACTTGTTTTTGAAACAGGGTATCATTTCCGAGCCCAGGCTGAATTCAGAGGCCTTCTGTCTCAGCCTCCTGAGTGTTGGGATTATTTCTTAGGTGATCCCCACCATCCTTAGCAACTTCTTTCTATCTTGTCTTCTTTTTTTTTACCTACCTCACTCCTTCCCTCTCTCCTTTTTTTCTTTTGCCACGTAGCCCAGGCTGGCCTGGGACTCTGCATTCTTCTGCTTCAGTTTCCTGAGTGCTTGGATTGAAGGTTTGTATCACCACACCCAGGCCAGATCTCTAGGTTCCTGGTGGGCCTTAGGTTTCTAATGTTTTAAGACAGAGAACTGGCTCGCAGAGGCACTGCACAGTGTATGCTGTTTGACTGAATGATTAAATGAACATTTGTTTGTAGTCAGTGCTCCACACTCTTTCTTAAATAAGAGCAGGCTCAGAACAGTAGTGCTCAACACTTGGCTGGACATTAGAGTCTTCTAGGGGGCTTCTACAAATTTTCCAGGGCTTGCCCTGGAGTTCTGGGATAAGGGATGCCTGTCTCCTCCAAACTCCCGCGCTGCCTTCCATAAGGGAGCAGCGGTTATATTTTTGTGAGTTTCTAACAAGCTCTTCTCTGGGTGACCTCTTTCTCTGGTGATCCTTCCCAGTTTCATATGGAGGGAAAGGAGTGGGTATTGGGTGAGGGAGCGGGTTTGGTGGGCAGAGTCAACCAACCTAGTCAGGGAGCAAGTGGTTAGAGAGATTAAGTGCTATTCCACACCTACAGCAGGTCCGTGATTGGCTTTGGTAAAGGCTCAGGACCTGTTCTGGGCTTTCTGAAGGACAAATCACCTCAAGCAGCCAGAAGCATACACCCGCTCTATCTGTGTTGAGAGTTAGGCTGGGGCTTAGAGGAATCTAGATCATCCATTTCGGTTGGCGGCAGGTCTGCAGGAGGAAATGCCCAGGCAGCTATGTAGAGATGGTTCTGGCTTCATTGGGACCAACCCCACTCCAGGATGAGCTGAGTCCTGAGGGCGGGGTCACTTCGAGGAAAGGCCATTCTGTGCGCTGTACTAGACAGACTTTCACGTTCTCATTCCTTCCTAGCATTCCCAAGCTCTAACTGATTTGTAGTCTCCACTCAGAGGCACGCCCCTCTTTTCCTCGTAGGGGTTCGGAAGGAGCCCTTTGCTGGGGAGGGATCTGGGTTAGGAGGGAAATTAAGCAGGTCGCCTTCTTACCTTTCATTTTTGCCTCCTCTAGGTCCCATCTGAGGTGCCCTTGACCGTCCCTGCCCTCACCCCACCCCGGATCCCGGCAATGCTAACCGCTGTCTGTGGCTCTCTGGGCAGTCAGCACACCGACGCCCCTCACGCATCACCGCCGCGCCTAGACCTGCAGCCTCTCCAGACATACCAGGGTCACACGAGCCCGGAGGTTGGGGACTACCCCTCCCCGCTGCAGCCTGGAGAGCTGCAGAGCCTCCCGCTGGGCCCGGAGGTAGACTTCTCACAGGGCTATGAGTTGCCAGGGGCCTCCTCGCGGGTAACCTGCGAGGACCTGGAAAGTGACAGTCCCTTGGCTCCAGGACCCTTTTCCAAGCTCCTGCAGCCGGACATGTCACACCATTACGAATCGTGGTTCCGGCCGACTCACCCAGGCGCGGAGGATGGCTCTTGGTGGGACCTACATCCCGGCACCAGCTGGATGGACCTCCCCCATACTCAAGGAGCGCTGACATCACCTGGCCACCCGGGGGCGCTTCAGCCTGGGTTGGGAGGATACGTCGGAGACCACCAACTCTGTGCTCCGCCGCCCCACCCGCACCCGCATCACCTCCTCCCAGCCGCGGGTGGGCAGCACCTCCTAGGGCCACCCGACGGGGCTAAGGCCTTGGAAGCGGCGGCGCCAGAGTCCCAAGGTCTGGATTCCAGTCTGGATGCGGCGGCCCGACCCAAAGGCTCCCGGCGGTCTGTGCCCCGCAGCTCAGGGCAGACCGTGTGTCGCTGTCCCAACTGCCTGGAGGCGGAGCGACTGGGAGCTCCGTGCGGGCCCGACGGGGGCAAGAAGAAGCATTTGCACAACTGCCACATCCCAGGCTGCGGGAAAGCCTACGCCAAGACGTCGCACCTGAAGGCACACCTGCGGTGGCACAGCGGCGACCGTCCCTTCGTGTGCAACTGGCTTTTCTGCGGCAAGCGCTTCACGCGCTCCGACGAGCTGCAGCGCCACCTTCAGACCCACACCGGGACCAAGAAGTTCCCCTGTGCGGTCTGCAGCCGAGTCTTCATGCGCAGCGACCACCTGGCCAAGCACATGAAAACCCACGAGGGCGCCAAAGAGGAGGCTGCTGCAGCGGCCCAGGGGGAGGCCAAGGCCGGTGGCGCAGTGGAGCCGCCCGGGGGCAAAGGCAAGCGGGAGGCTGAAGGCAGCTCGGCGTCCTCCAACTGAGCCCCTCGGATGTCGCATTCCTGCCGATCTTTTTAGGGGGTCGCCCTGAGTAAGAGGGGAAGGTGGTTATTTATTGATTGTGGGGAACAGGGAGAGAGGCGCTAGGGTTTTTGTTTTTTGGTTTTTTTGTTTTGTTTTTAGTTTCTGGGGCTAGATTGGAGGCTATTTGACTGTTTAGGCTGCCAGGAGCTGAACGCGCCCCTCGCTTCTCTCTATTTCACCCTCCCCTGAGTTGCTGAAGGGTTAGGATGGAGCACCCCTACTATGTGGAGGGGTTCGGCTAGTAGAAATGGCACGTCCCAGGAGCTGAGGGGAAGCGAGACTGGCTCGGGGCGTTGGGGGTAGCTGTCTGGACATGCCTTTAGCTCCTGGGAACCCGGACATAAAAGCACCTTGGAGCCGCCCTAAGGCCTAGGTCCCTTTCATCCCCCTGCTAGTGCTTCTCCCTCTAAAATTTCCGAAGAGAGAGCAGAGGTGGGGTGGAGGAGCCTGGGGTGGTTCCCCTTAAGGGGCTGTCTATCTAGCTTGGAGGGTTGTTACTATGGAAAGAACTCCCTTCAATGAATTCCTTATAAACCCTTCCAGACTCAGTCTAAGAGAGCCACGAAGGACACAGCTTCGCAGCCAGAGCTGTGAGCTGGAGGTCAGAGTTACATAGGGAGAGGGCTCCAGCAGGGCGGTCCTCTTACAAAATGGAAGAAGTTTGGCCGGGGTGGCGGGTGGGAGAACTAACCGCTTCTTCCCTCTTCAACTCTAATTCAATCCTTACCTCTTAGACCTTTTAAAAGAAATCAAATTCAGCAGTCCCCTAGGTAGTTTTCTAAAGTCAGCCACCAGCTCCGGAGTTGACATTAGACTCCCCTACCCCACTCCACCTCCTGGTCTCCATCCTTTGCTTTCCCTCTGGGGTTGTCCTAGCAGAGGGACTGCAGTGGAGGACCCCACTCTGTCTGGATCCCCGTCTCTTTTTAGCTTGACCTTCCCAAGTTGCCCCCACTGCTATAGAGTCCCCCCTCCTTCACCCGCAGTGGGAACCTCCTTCCGTATGAAGAGTTACTATCCACTGGAAGGGATTCTAGGAAGCTGTTTCTTTATCCCCTACTTAGATGCTAGAGATACAACTGGGTTTTGATCACAGGGCGGGGAGGGTAGTTTTCTACCTGGCAGACCGCAGGGCCCTGGGGCTGGGGGCACTCTCAGGTTTGAGGTAGAGGCCTTGAGTCCCTCTGACCTCTCCTTGCTCTCTTCTCTCCACCCAAAACCCTCTGCAGGGAATAGCTATGTGTTGACTTTTAAGTTATAAGCAAAGGGTATTTTATTTAATAATTAGGGTGTGAGTGCGTATGTGTGTGTTGTCTGTACCTGTATGTATGTATGTGTGTGTTTCTCTACTGAGCCTGGGGTCTCCTGAGACCCCATCTTGTTCACCCGTCCAAGGTCTGGGGCCTAGACCCACAGAAGTATCTCTTCTGCCATTGGGGATGCTGGGACCCAGTCCAAGGACTGGGAGCTGTATGGGAAGTAGGGGCTGGGATCTGGGTAGGAATATGTGTTTGTGTAGAAAGGGCTCCTCCTTCAAAGGGACAGGGTGACTCCCTGTGGGACTTAGGGGCCTGAGGTAGTTTAAGCATAAGGTTCTTTCTGTATTCTCCCTCTTCTCCTCACTTCCTGCTAACCTAGCCAGGGGTCCCCATTCTTAACAAAGAGGGATGAGGGCAAGAGCAAAGCTGGCCATGCCTGCAGGTTGCCTGGCTAGGTACAGAGGGGGAGAAAGAAGGGCACCGTGGGTGTGGGATGCTTTCTCCTCCACCCATCGAAACCAGACACCCTTCTCCCTGTGCTACCAAGACAACCTTTTCCAGTGACCATTCTTAGGGGAACTCCTACTTGGGTGTGGGGGGGCATGCATGCTCCCCCTTATAGAAGCCCTGAACCCTAAGATTTGCAGGTGGGGCTTGGGATAGTTTTTGTCTGCCCTACTCTTTATCAATCTAGGTTTCTCAGCTGCCTGTCCTTCTAGGCAGCCCCCCTAGAGGAAAATGTAGGATTTTTTTTCTTTAACTGCTGTGAACCCACTTGGGGGGGGAGGAGGAGGCAGAAACAGCCTGTGTTTTTTATGCAACAATAAAGTCATCAACCAACCACATTCTTGCTTTATTTGTCTTCCAGCGCAGCCCTGTTTTTTTGACTCTGTCTCTCCACAGAGAGGACTGGGTAGGGGGATCCTTGGGCAAGCATCACATCTATTCAATTGGTTGGGTCAGAGCTTGGATCTGAGCCTATCCTGGAAGGGGTAAGGAGAGAAAGGCTGCTTCTGCATCAGTACTCTCTGGTTCTCATCTGTGGAGTTTCAAGATGTTTCCGTATTCTACTTCTAACTCCTACCTTCCCTAAGGTCCCCTGCCTTCCAAGTCCTAGCTGGCCGCTTGGCTCACTCTCCCCACCCCCATGGGAGCATGCATGTCAGCCGGTCCCTCTGGCTGCGAGTGAGGTGGGGGTGACTGACAGTGATTTCTTCACCCAGGACGATCCCTATCAGAGACAGGGCGATGAAAGGCAGCCCTGATATCTGATGGGCACCTGCCCAGCTGGAAAGTACGAGGGGAAGGTTGCTACTACTACTCAAAGCAAGAAACCTGCTAGGGTTATGCAACGGCAGTGTGCACAGAGAGACTAGAAATGCCCACCTGTAGTAGCTGGTACCCAATCATGGCGAGTGAGTGAAAGCCTCATGACTTCGGGAGTCCCAGTGTTTGGAAGGTGATAGGGGAGCAACTTTTGTTTTGGCTTCCTGTCTCTTCAGGACAAGGTTGGTTATTATGTCCTTTTACCTTCCCAGCATACTATTTATTTATTTATTTATTTATTTCTCCAAATGTATTGTTCACCCCTCCTGGGATTCCCAGCCCCTACAACCCCTAACCCAATTTCTCCAGCCAACTCCGGTTCTCAGATTGGCCCATCCTATCACATGTCTGAGAGATTTGGGGGCCTCCAGGTGTAAGGGAACCTTGGGAGGGGGTATCAGGATGATTTAGGGACTGTGGAGAAAACCAGACTGGTGTGTGTGGGGTGCACCTGTTTTCATCTGTTACTGGGCAGAACAGCTCAGAGCCTTGTTTACCTGTGACCTGTGCCTGGGGCAATCCTGCTGGGCACCTCTTTTGTCTTTTGGTTCTAGGGGAATTAGACCCCAGAAACCTGGTGGTCCCCTCTTTTCCCCCATATTTGCCTCCAGGGACAGGAGGGCAGCTGTAGGGCCGGCTGGGCTTGTCTGGGCAGGGCCAGGGCCCTCCCTCCTCCCCTTGCTACTCCTCCAGCTGACCTGCATTCTTAGCAGGGGCCTTTGGTGGGGCTCTGATGCATGCTTGATCCTCTGCAATGCTGCCTGGCTGGCCTGGGCCCCCTGAAGGAGCCCAGGGTCACCTATGACCCCTCAGAAATGGCACCCCAGCAGGATTGTAATGGAGAGGCTGAGAGGGAGGGAAAACATCCCGTCTGGATTGACCTTTCTGAGGCTTCTCCTAACCAGAGAAGTGAAGTAAAATACCTCTAGGGCGGGTGAATGAAGTCAAAAGTGGAAACGTGACAGAAGGCAGCCCCGGAACGCAGCCTGGGTTGCTTGGAGTCGGCAGCCTCCGCCTTTCTGCTTTTCCGGCTGCCTCCTCCTTCGGCCTGTCCCGCCCCCCAGCGGACATCTGGGGAAGTGCCGAAGAGGAACCTGCCTTCTCCCCTGAGCGCCGCCAATGCTGCCTCAAGGTGTACAGCCTTGAGGTTTGAGGTGGTACAGCGTCCAATGGCGACTTTGCACCCCTCCTTCAAGATGCACCCCTCCTTCAAGACTGCCTTATGGATAACACCAGCGATTTAAATTTAAAAAGAATCTTAGGAACAAAACCAAAGAACTGTTAAAAGTCACAGAAAACAATGAACAGACAACAATAAGAAATATCTCCTTAAATTTTTTTTTTTGACGTGGCTGTTAATCCCACTTGGGGGGCAGAAGCAGGTGGATCTCTGAGTTCAAAGCCAGCGTAGTCTACAAAGTGAGTTCCAGGACAGCCAGGGCTGCACAGAGAAAACCTGTCTCGAAAAACAAAAATAATTTCATGTGTATGAATGTTTTACCTGCATATATGTGTGCACACCACATGAATGCAGTGCCCTTAGAGACTACAAGAGGGCGTCAAAAACCCTGGAACTGGAGCTACAGATGATTGTGGTATCTGAAGATTAGGATGGACCTCAGCTGCATCCTGACTTGAATTTCAAAGATGCAATGCTAGTGAGAAAGAGAGGGAAAATTTGTACACTGAAAAACAAATTTATTTTAACTCAGAGACTCCTGCCCAGGATGGCATTGAACTCCTTCTGTAACCAAGGACACCCATGAACTTCTGATCCTCCTGGAATTACAGGTGTGCTCCACCACACCCAGTTTATGCAATGCTCAGGATTGAATGCAGGATTCATGCTACCAACTGAGCTACATCCCTATTCCCAGAGACTAAAATTGAAGAATGTGGCCAAGTAGTGGTGGCTCATGCCTTTAATCCCAGCACTTGAGAAGCAGAGGCAGGTGGATCTCTGTGAGTTCAAGGCCAGCCTGGTCTATAGAGCAAGTTCCAGGACAGTCTCCCAACCTACAGAGAGAAACCTGTCTAGAAAAGAAAAAAGAAAGAACTGAAGAATGCACACACACACACACACACACACACACACATGCGTGAATGCACTTCGTTTATGTATTGCAAGAATTAAGATTGTTGCAATATTACAGACTCCATGTAACCCCTAGAAATAATTCCCAGAGGTCATAGGAGCACAAATGTATGAGATGCATTTTCTTCAGTGATGGCTACAGAGATGAACGGAAGGCCTGAAATATTTGAGGTTGGAACACAGCTTCACACCACTGTGCGTCCCTCTTAGCCCACATTTCTCCTTTGCTGTCTCATTTTCACTGCATGTAGAAGGAGAGGTGTCACATTTCTAAATTTCCTTTCAAAGTTGCTTTTCTTTTTTCTTTTTCGTGGGGGTTTTCGAGACAAAGTTTTTCTGTATCTCTGTAGCTTCGAAGGCTGTCCTGGAACTCGATCTGTAGACTAAGCTGACCTCAAACTCACAGGCTGCCTCTGCCTCCCGAATGCTGGGATTAAAGGTGTGCAACACCATCTGCCAGTGCAAAATTATCTTTCTATAATCCTAAGCACTTATGAGACAGAACAGAACTTGGAGTTTTGGAGACAGGAGGGTTTTGTGTATATCTCATTGTGACATGGGGGCTAGGGAGATGGTTGAGCCAGTAAGAGTTCAAATAATAAAGTACCTGTCAGGCAAACATGAAGAAGGCCTGGGTTCTATCCCCAGCATCACATGCATTTACAATTCCAGCCCTGGGAGGTAGAGACAGGCTACAACCTGGGCTTGCCGCTCAGACAGTGTAGAAGAATCAACAAGCTTCAGGTTTAATCAGAGGCCCTGTCTCAAAAAGTAAGATGGAGAGCAACTGAGGAAAACATCCAATGTTGACCTCTGGTCTGCACAAGCACACACATACAAGTGTATGTGCACTTGCACACATGAATACACATAAATAATCTCCCAAAGACAACAACAAGGTGGACAGCTTCTAAGACAGGGAATCTAAATTTGAAAATAAAATGAGTGAATACTGATCTTGCCTAAGTCCTCAGTTTGGTTCCCACCTCCCATGCCAGGTGGCTCAGAATGACCTGTAATTCCAGCTTCAAGGGACGGAACACTCTGTTCTGGCTTCCCCGGGCACATGCCCTCCAGTACACATAATCCACACACATAATTACAAAATTAAAGTTTTTAATTTATGTGTATGGATGTTTTTCCAGTATGTGAGTTTTTCCAGTATGTGAGTCTGTGCACCTCGTGTGTGCGTGTCTGGTGCACATGGAGGCCAGAAGGCATCGGATTCCCTGAAAGTGGAATTACAGACAACTATGAGCCACTGTGTGGGTGTTGGGAATCTAACCCAGTTACTCTGCAAGAACACCCAGTGCCCTTACGCCCTGAACTATCTCTAGCCCCTAAAAATAATTTTTTAAAAATTAGTAAAATAGGGGCTGGAGAGATGGCTCAGAGTTTAAGAGCACTGGATGCTCTTCCAAAGGTCCTGAGTTCAATTCCCAGCAACCACATGGTGGCTCACAACCATCCATTATAAGATCTGGTGCCCTCTTCTGGTGTGCAAATATACATGGAAGCAGAATGTTGTATAATAAATAAATAAGATCTTTTTAAAAAAATAGTAAAATAATCAATACAGTAACTTGAGATATCCCTATGCCTGTCTGTGCTGTGCAGTTTTACTAGGATTGAGTCTTTGGCATTCAAGTCAGGATGCAGGCAGCTAAAGTTCTTCCTTAATCTTCAGAACCCCAGCAACGTTGGCTACTTTATGAATACTTTCTTCACTGTGGCTTCTTTTCTCCTTCAGCTCCACCTCCTAATAGTGACTCTTTGATAAGCCTGACCGGGAAGTCCAGGACACCCAGGCAGGATTTGGAAGGCCACTTAGTTCCAAGAAGTAGTGCCAGCTAGCGCGCTCCCTCGTGGGAAACGGTGGGATTGCAGTTGCTCTGTTCACGCCCCGCCCCGGGGAACAAAGGCCTTCCAGGCCACCTAGGTACCTGGGTCCAGAAGAACAGATCTGACTTGAAGCAGAGGAGGTGGCGTCCTGAACTGAGTTGAGGGTCTTGGAGACAGAAAAGGTGAGAGGTGAAGGTACTGAGGACTTGGAAGGGGTTGGACGGAAGAGGAGCGCGAATGTGGGCATGCGCACGAGCGTGGGATTCTTGCAGCAGACATTAGTGCCTAGAAATTACCCTTATAGCCCGGAAGGGCTAGGATTCCAAGGCGGACGCTCCTAACTTGCAGAGTCTGCGTTGTCTGCTGACTCTAAGTGCACGGTTAGTGCACACCGCGCTCTGAGTGTGCACACAGTGCTCTTGTCCCAGAGCGTCTGGCATGGATTCTGTCTTGTCTGAGTGCACAAGTTATGGGAGGGAGCGTCCTAGGCCCCACCGGTGGCCAGGATTATGGAGAGGTGGCAGTGGAAGGACATGATCATCCCCACCTCTTCTTCGCAGATGGCCTCCTCTAACCCTGACGCCCCTTGTTCCTGCGACTGTTTTGTCTCTGTGCCCCCTGCCTCAGCCATCCCCGCTGTGATCTTTGCAAAGAACTCGGACCGCCCTCGAGATGAGGTGCAGGAGGTGGTGTTTATACCAGCAAGCACTCACGTCCCTGGGAGCCGGCTTCAGGTGGGTTAGGATTTAAAAGGAACTGCAAGGTTTAGACCTTCGCTTTCTTGCACCTGGGATGCTGGCAGATGCTGTGAAAAGAGTATGGACTTTTAAGTCTAGTTAACCTCTGCTAACTTGGTTTACTTGTGTGTGTGACGTGAGAATAAGACCTTAAGGCCATTATATAAAGCGGTCAGAGCAATGCAGGCCCTGGGTCGTTCTTTCAGTGAATTCTTTTCTTTACCTCCAGTGCACCTACATCGAGGTAGAACAGGTGTTGAAGACTCATGCTGTGATTCTGAGCCGCCCTTCTTGGCTGTGGGGGGCTGAGATGGGAGCCAATGAACATGGTGTCTGCATTGGCAACGAAGCAGTGTGGACCAAGGAGCCTGTTGGGGAGGGGGAAGCCCTGTTGGGTATGGATCTACTCAGGTACACACCGGCTCTTCGTGACCCCCGTCTTCCCCTAACACTCGTTCACTGGGCTTGCGTCTCTGTTGGCCTTGTCCTGTGGCCTCGCTAAGAGGGCTGCAGTAGACCTTCTATATTCTTCTTCTTCCTCCCCCTCCTCCCCCTCCTCCTCCTCCTCCCTCCCTCCCTCCTTTTCCTCCTCCTGCTTCTTCAATTTTTCAAGACAGGGTTTCTCTGTGTAGCTTTGGCTGTCCTGGAACTTTCTCTGTAGACCAAGTTGGCCTTGAACTCAGAGATCCTCCTGCCTCTGCCTCCTGAGTGCTGGGATTAAAGGCGAGGGCCACCAAGCCTGATAAGGAGCCTCCTTTGGCCCAGAGTGGTTTAATTTTTTTGTCAGTACTATCTTTGGTAACTGAAATGTCCCATAGAGTTCTGGTTTATAGAAACTGGTAAAGGTAGAACAGCCCCAACTGGGGAGCAGTTCAGACACTTCTTCCTTGGAAACTGGTTTCCAGACCTTTCCATGAATTCTCAGTTCAAAGCTTGGAAACCACTGGCATATGGCTTTTTCATTTTTTACCCTTGCTTGTTTCTGTTGTGTGTTTTGAAACAGCTTCTCATTGTGTATCCCTGACTGACCTAGAATTCACTATGTAGACCAGGCTGTCCTTGGACTCAGGCCCACCTACCTCTGCCTCCCAAGTGCCGGGGGTTAAAGTTGCTTACCACCATATCCAGCTGATTTTTCATTTTGCCTGGGTATTTTTGTTTGTTTGTTGTTTTGAGATAAGGAATCATGTAGTATGTAGCTGAGTCTGGAGTTGAACTTTTTTTTTTTTTTTTTTTTTTTTTTTTTTTTTTTTTTTTTTTGGTTTTTCAAGACAAGGTTTCTCTGTGGCTTTGGAGGCAGAGTGCTGGAACTAAAAGGTGTGCGCCACCACCGCCCAGCTTGGAGTTGAACTTTTGATCCTCCTGCCTCCACTTCTTTATAGGGATCACAGGCCTGTGCTGCATACCATCATTGCTGTTGGGTTTGCTGGGAAAGGTGGGCCTTTCTTTCATCAGACCTCTCTGGGTCACTTCTATCCTCTGACTCCGCCAGGCTGGCTCTGGAGCGAAGCAGTACTGCCCAGGAGGCTGTGCACGTGATCGCAGGCTTGCTGGAACGCTATGGGCAGGGGGGCAGCTGCCGGGAAGAGCCTGTGCCATTCTGCTATCACAACACCTTCCTACTGGCTGACCGGACAGAGGCATGGGTGCTGGAGACAGCAGGGAAGCTGTGGGCTGCTCAGCAGATCCAGGGTAGGAACCTAGACCTCCCCAGGCACTGCCCTCCACTTCTGGAGGCTACCACGTTTGCTCTCCCTGACAGCCTTGGACAGTGGGACGCCCTGGGAAATGAACCCACTTAGGAACTGTTTCCTCCTTCCCCTGGCAGAAAGCCTTCCTGGACTTCTATGCGTGGTTGGGAGGTCACATGCAAGCAACCACTGCTTTGCCATCATGTCTGTTCCTATGATTTACCTCTTATTGATTTGTCTGTCTCATCACCGTAGGCCCCTTGAGGGCATGTTGTGTTTGTTAAAACCGTCACCTAAACACCTCACCTAGGGCCTGGCACATAGAATAAGTCCCTCTTCTTTCACAGGGGGTGCCCGCAACATTTCTAACCAGCTGAGCATTGGCACCGACATCTCAGCAGAACACCCAGAGCTCCGAAGCCATGCCAAGGCCCAGGGTTGGTGGACTGGACAGGGCACCTTTGACTTTGCAGAGGTCTTCTCCCTGACCCAACAGCCTGTGCGGATGGAAGCTGCCAAGGCCCGCTTCCGGGCTGGGCATGAGCTGCTGCAGCAACGACAAGGTCTCTGAGCGGTGGGCAAGAGGGTCATGGCACCCTGGCCTGGAGTCTCTCTCACACTCTCATTTGCTGAGTCCCCGCCACCTCCTCCTTTGCAGGCAGTATCACAGCAGAGGTGATGATGGACATCCTCAGGAACAAGCAGAGTGGCATCTGCATGGACTCTGGAGGCTTCCGCACCACAGCCAGCATGGTGTCGGTCCTGCCCCAGGATCCCACAAAGCCCTGTGTCCATTTTCTCACTGCCACACCAGACCCATCCAGGTGAGGGTGGAGAGGACATAGTGATCAGGGGACATGACATGTCCCCGGCTACTACTTCAGTCCTTCAACCTGTGTCTCGTTAGGTCAGTATTCAAACCTTTCATCTTTGAAGTGGGGGTGGCCCAGGCCCCCCAGGTGCTGTCCCCCATATTTGGAGCCCAGGACCCTGTTCGGATCCTCCCCCGATTCCAGACTCAGGTGGATCGTCGACACTTACTCTATCGTGGACACCAGGCAGCCCTGGGGCTGATGGAAGACGGGCAGGTAGGAAATACCTTTACCTTCCTGATATCTGGAACCGTAAAGGGCCTAGAAGAGACGGCAGAGCTGGGGGCAGGTGGGGCCTCCAGCCAGTCTCGAGTTTCTCCTGCCTGGAGGACAGGGTCCACATTCCTCACCTCTGCCTTTCCTGGCAGGATCAGGGAAAACAGCTCAGGCAAATGCAGCAGAGCCTGGAGCAGGAAGGCCTGGAGGTTCTCAGAGGACTACTTACTGGTGAACAGACCCCACCTCCCCAGTTGCTGGGCAGCCTCTTCCAGACCTTTGTGGAGAAGGAGCAAAAAGCCTATGCCTGAGCAATGCAGCAGCTGTTGGCCCACTGGCTTCAGGAGCTCGGAGGCCAGCTGTGAGCTGTAGTGGCGGTCACAACCATCCCTTTACAATCGCTAGCTCATCCAGGTTCTGGGTAGCTGGTACAGCCTCTGGATTAATAAATGTTTTATTTCCATATTTAGTGAACTGTATCTCAGGTCTGTTGGGGAGAGCTGAGCAGAGGGCAGCTCCTAGCAGCTAGACCTGGGTGCCAAGCCATAAACCCTAATTATGGGTGTGATGGGACCTAAATCATGTGTTTGCATGAAGACCCAAGATCACAAGAGCTGGCCTATTGGGGACAATCAAGATCTCAAGGTTTTAGTCCTTAGCTTGGACTGCATAATAGCATGTCTTTAATGCAATTACTCAGGAGGCAGAGGCAAGTAGATTTCTTTGAGTTCCCGCTAGCCTGGTCTACATAGTAAGTTCCAGGCCAGCCAGGAATACACAGTGAAGCACTGTCTAAAAAATCACAACAATAACATAAAGCTATCTCACCATGAGACAGCATCATTTGTGAGGTGGTCTCCACTTCTTGGCCACTTGGGGCCAGCAAACTAGTTGGGGACCCAGACAGATGCCAGCCCTTTGGGTCATTCCTGAAAGGTTAAGCTAATTTGGGGATTGTGGTTTTAGTTTTTGGTTTGGTTCCTTTCCTTGACTTATCCATGTGATATAAAAAGCATCCCAAGCCCAAAGATACTTTATTGGGGGGTTGGACTACTGCCACAAGTGAAAGGCCTGCGAAGGAGAGCAAGCACACAGAGGCTGTGTGTGTGCTACTTTGTGCTTCTTTTGGTTGTAATTTTTGTTGTGCTGGGGGCTGCAGCCAGAGAGGTCTTGGAGGCTGTGGCTGCCAGAGCCCCCTTCTTTGCCCGGACAGAGCTTTTTTGGCTTGTGGGAGCTGGTTTCTTGGTAGAAGAGGTGGTCCGGGTTGAGGAGGTGGCCTTAGGGGCTGACTCCTTCTCAGGCTCTGCAGTGACAGCAGGGCTGCAGTCCCCGGCCATGGGCACAGCAGGCAGGAGAGGCAGGTCAGTGAGGACAGGCTGTGTCTCCATCCTTGCCAAGTGCTCTGCCAGGACCACCTGCTGCCTTCGCTCCTGGTGTTGCTGTAGTTCCTGCTCCAGGTCCTTGAAGAATCCTGGGGGAAGAAAGGTAGAGCCCTGGGCTCAGCAGGAGGGCCTTGGGCTCAGGGATGGCTCTGATAAACCTACTGGCATCCCTAGGAGACTGTGTATTGGACTGGGGCTGGGAAGAGATGCATTCCCCCAGCCTCTTATTAGATCCTGCTGATTCCAGACAGAGGTGGATCACTGCCACTCAATCATGAGTAGCAGGTGGCCCTGAGGCTGATGGAAAGTGAGCATGTAACCCCAAGGACTGAGCCATGCTGGGAAGATGTCACCTTCCACCGTCCTGACTGGCACTCTGGAAACATGAAGATGCCTGGAGTGGAGGAGACCAAAGAGCAGGAGAGACGATCACGGCAGAGCTAGCTGCCTAGCACAGTGTCAGTGTCGTTCCCCATCTCCTAGGGCAATGTGAGCCTGGGGAGGCTACAAGCTGTGGAAAATAACCACCTCGCTCTGCGCAGAATGGGCCATTCAGCTCCGGAAATTCCTCCTCCTCATCTGAGGATTTATCCTCATCATCTGAGGTCCAGCGCTCCAATATAGGCTGCTTGTCCAGGTCCAAGAGCAGTGGCAGGGCTCCTATCACCATCTTCCTGGAAGGCAGAAGAAGCAGAGGTTACCCGTGAGGGTATCCTTGGTGTAGAACCTGGGAGGACACAGTGACATGTGCTTCGGTGCCTATACCTAGGTGTGCATGACTCTGAGACTAAGAGATGGACCTGGGGTCAGCTCAAAGAGCAAAAGGCTGGCTCCTGGGAGGTGCTGGATATGGGACTGGAGAGGGACAGACTCAGTCTAGGGGTCAGAGGGCAAGATGGATACATGAGGGTTGCCGGCTGATGGTGGCTCCCTGGAGCAGTGGGCGGTGCTCACCTAACACGCCTTTACCCTCCAGTCTCTCCTCACCTGTAGCCATTCTTGTTGGTGCAAGGGTTTCCACACAGGTTGAGGATGAGAAGGCTCTGAGGGAGCTCGTCTGTGCAGCAGAAAGAATGAGGGAGGGTCTCATGCCTGCTCTGTTCCCCTCCAGGGGGAGAGAGAGAAGCAAAATCACAGGGAGCGTGGAGCCCAGAGGAGGGAGGGCACCACATGGGACCATTCCCTGAGCCAGGGCACGGTGTTCCTACCTAGCTTTAGCATTTCTATCAGGTTCTCGGAAAGGTCCAGAAACTGGAGGTACTGGAGGTCAAGGAGATTTTCCACCTGCCTGATCTGGTTTCCTGCCAGAGACAGGAAGCTGCCGAGGGAGAGAGAGGGGCAGAGACGAGGTTGAGTTGTGGGACTGCTGGAGGAGGCAGGAGGGCACCAGGTGCCCAGGCTCCCCTGTGTAGGTAGCTGACTGACAAGTGGGGACACAAAGTCTTGTGGGGTGAGGAGAGCAGAGCCAGACTTCTCATCTGATAAAGAGCCAGGCTTGGAGAGCCCCAAGACAATTGCAGGGGCGTAGCCAGTTTCTCACCACCCACTCCTTAGGCCCGTGCTGTCTTGGTGCCACATACCGCAGGGAGGTGATGCATGACAAGTTCTCAATTCTCTGGATCTTATTCTGCAGGAAGAAACCAAGGTGGGGAAACCAAGTTTAAGATTAGCTGGGTGGGGAAGTCTTTTTAAGGGGACAAAGCCCTAATTTTACCATGACTACTCTCAGCTGCAGCCATTACACTTTGAGAATGACCGACTTTGAGAATGAGAATCAACCTGACTGAGGTTGGATGCCACTACCGTGGGGAAGATGATTTGTTTTCTCTGGTCAATGGCTAATGTGTGAGCGGAGCCAAAGGACTGGAGACTCAAAAGAAGAAAGCCAGGGGGCCAACAGGGAAATGGAAAAGCCCTCATTGGTGGCCTGTATATTTGTTGATTCACAAGGTTTGTATAGAAGTTTAAGGGCGCTGGGCAGTGGTGGCACACACCTTTAATTCCAGCACCGGGATCCTTCTGCTTCAGCCTCCTGGGTGAAGACTGCCATAGGCCACTACCCCTAACTGTAATGGTAACTCAAGAGCTTGTTCAGGAGCTCTTGGTGGGGTTGGGGTAGGAAATCGGTCTTTTTGTTTGTTTTGTTTGTTTGTTTGTTTGTTTCAAGACAGGGTTTCTCTGTGTAGCCTGGCTGTCCTGGCAATTGCTTTATACACCAGACAGGCATCGAACACACAGAAATCTGATTGCCTCAGATTTCTCAGGTATTCCAAGTTCTGGGATTAAAGGTGTGACCACCACCTCCGGGTCAGAAATCGGTCTTTCAATTCAGGAGGATTATTGATTCATTTTGGGAAAGTTCTGCTTATCTAAACACCAGAAACGAAAAAAGATGAACCATTCACCGGTTTTCAGGTTAGATAGACTAGGTTCGTAGCAGGGAGAGAACAGAAGGCATGGGGGCAAGACCTTACCAACTGCAGGTAGAGGCTGTGAATATTCCGGAGGCCCTCTAAATTCCTGATAGAAGTAATCCCTTCCCGATCCAGGCGGACAGTCTCCAGTTCTTCAAGAGTATGAAACCTGGAGAAGAGTGAGCAAAATGGCGCAGTAGGGTTCACACCTGTGGCCTCTTAGTGGCTGATGGGGGGCGGGGAGATGTCTCAAGGAAAGGAAGAGGGCTGAATGGTTTTGGTGAGATGTCAAGAGCAGCTTCTTAGCCGGGTGTTGGTGGCGCACACCTTTAATCCCAGCACTCGGGAGGCAGAGGCAGGCGGATCTCTGTGAGTTTGAGGCCAGCCTGGTCTCCAGAGCCAGTGCCAGGATAGGCTCCAAAGCTACACAGAGAAACCCTGTCTCGAAAAACCAAAAAAAAACCAAAAAAAAAAAAAAAAAAGAACAGCTTCTTGACCCAGAGATTGGTGTTCAGGTCATGAGACTGGCTAGTCTCAGTCACATGGTTCTCTGTTGGTGGACCTGAGGAAGGGCAGAGTGAAAAGCTGACGAGGGGCCCTCTGGATAACTGGTGGGTGGCTGCTCACAGCTCCTGGAGATTCAGAACGAGAGAGGCCTTCCTTGGTCAGTTTGGATGGTGGGGGCAGGGTGGGGATAGATGCAGAAATACTGTCATATCTTCTGGAAGAAGCTTCCTCACTCCCTTTTGAGTCACCCATGGAGCAGAAATCACTTGTTCCATCCATACATTCCTTGTTTCCAAATTAACTGAGTATCCTCCAGACAAATGGCATAGGTCCTTGACCATCATCATCAGGGAAGCCAGCCAAATATCTGTGGCCAAGTGGATGCCAGAGGCAGGTACAAGAAATGAAAGTGGGTACATGGTCTATGGACCAACTCCAGAGTGGAGGATCGGAGGTGATCGGAGGATTCCTAGCTATCGGAGGTGACTAAGGTATAGGCAGGAGAGGACTGGGGACAAGATATTTGAGCAGAACAAATAGTGCATGCATGTGCTGATCCAGCCTTGAACTTGAATGTGCCTGGGAATCCTTTGTGTACTGGAAGATGAAGATGGGTTTGAGATGGGTACCTTTTTTTTTCTTTCTCTTAAAGCCAGGGTTTCATGTAGCACAGGGTGGCCTCAGACTCACTCTGTAGCTGAGGAGGATGGTCTTGAATTTCTATCTTCCTGCCTCTACCTCTTGGGATTACAGCAAGGCCAGTTTTATGTGGTGCTTAGCACTCTGTCAAGTGAGCTAATCACCAGTGGAGAGTCTTCATTTCTAACAAGCTCTCAAGGGTGACTCGGTATGAGAAATTGCACACTTTTAGGTGTGGCTGGAAATGTTTCGGTTCATGCTGTTTGGATTTTATTCTTGATGTAACAGGTTTCGGAGGAAGTTTCTACCAGGGAGTAATGAGATTTATAATCTATAAAGATCAATTGGGCAACAACAGTGTGAGGATGGGCAGACTGAGAACTGAACGGAGAATTTCTGAGTTTGCTAGAGCATTTTCTAAGGCAGCTGAGGATGATGCAAAAGAGAATCATCTTTAAGAAGGAAAAATCATACAGAGAAACCCTGTCTCGAAAAGCCAAAAAGAAAAGAAAAGAAAGGAAAGAAAAAAACTGAAAGAAAAAGAAAGGAACTCAACTGGGAAGTACTATTGATTGGAGTGTGCACTAACTAAAATGACAAACGAGTTATAAAACCATACAGCTCTTCCGGGAGTTGGTGGCGCACGCCTTTAATCCCAGCACTCGGGAGGCAGAGGCAGGCGGATCTCTGTGAGTTCGAGGCCAGCTTGGGCTCCAGAGCGAGTACCAGGATAGGCTCCAAAGCTACACAGAGAAACCCTGTCTCGAAAAACAAACAAAAAACAAAACAAAACAAAAACCTATACAGCTCAGCAAACTGGACCTCTGTGACATCTACTCCGCTCACATCTTTTCTGACAGGTCTTCATCCTCAGAGAAGGTCAAGTTCCTCTTGGTGATCAGGGCTTCAGTGATGGGGACCTCCCCTTCCTGTGTACTCTGGGCAGCATTCTTAGCTGTGAAAAGACGAGCCCCTTTGTCACTTGTCTTCATTATTTGAGAGCGGACCTTACCGTCGTCCAATTGTTCTATTGAGCAACTCACCTTCCTCCTCACCCCCTGGCATGACCTAGAGTAAATAGCGATGCCTGATTATCCGGCCGGGTGGGATGACCGAACCCAGGCTGGGGGGAGACTTCGGAGACAAGGACAGGGATGGTTGGTTCCGAGCCAATGGCTCGGGGTGCGGTGAAAAGCAGGAGTAAACGGGAGCCAAGGATCTGGAGTTACAAGCGTGTGGCGCGGCTTTACTGGTCGCAAACTGAAAGGACCCGAAGGATGAGAAGAACGGTTCTTGGAAGTCTCGCGTCGTTGCTAGGAGACTGGACGCCAGGTCCGTGGGACCCGTAGGCGTGGGGGCGGGCACTGCAGGACGCTACCTTCCGGTGGCTCGCCTACTATTTCCGGCCCTGGTTTCCCTTGCTGCCCCACAATCCTCAGCTCCTTCCGTCTCCGCGCAGCGCTCGTGGGAACTTCCTGTAGCGATGGCCGCGGCGGTGGCGGGGATACTTCGAGGCGGTGTCCCGCCCCGGGCGGGTAAGGAGCGGCCCAGGGCCTCAGCGCGCACAGGCCGGCGCTCTCTAGCCCTGCCCCCCTTTCCCGGAATCTCTGACAGCTCCCGGTGACCCTGCCACTAGCGGGATCTCCGATTGACTGGGTCCAGGTCCCTGTGACAGCCCCTCCCCCCCCACCCCCACACAGGTACACACTCTGGTAGTGACAGCAACGGTGTCACCAACGACAATGTTTATTTCTGCTTTGGATTTTCTAACCCTTCGCCTAGTTCTTGCCCCCGATCCCGGAGAGGCCTTGCTGGGATTTTAAGGTGTTGTTTAAGGCCAGCTTAAAGGTAGCTGCCCCAAGTGTGTGTCTCTCTGTGTCTTTCTCTCTCCGTCTGTCTCTCTTTCTGTCTCTGTCTCTCTTTCTTTCTGTCTGTCTGTCTGTCTGTCTCTCTCTCTCTCTGTCTCTCTCTGTCTCTGTCTGTCTCTCTCTCTCTCTAAAGCAGGTTCCTTGGTGAAATCTTTTGCTTGTATCCTGTTTATTGACACCCCCGCTTAGTCAGTTCAGAGTCTAGTTTTGCATTTTCCCATGCGCCTGTCCGGTCTGTTAAACTCCGTGGAGGGCAGCACAGTGTCCATTCATCTTAGCTAGTAAGTGGCATGGTGCCTGACGTTAGTAGATTTGACACCGTACTATTGGCCAGGAGTTGTGGTTATTGTCTTACACTTGTTGCCTCATTTAAATCTTACAGCAAAAGCACCTTGGGAGGAAGGCATTATCCACCTCTCTTTTTCAGATAAGCACATTGAAGCCTGGACCAGTTCATTGATAGGACAAGAATAACACTTAACAATCTGCAGAGCAGGCTTAAAATCCAGTTCCATCTCATTCTAAACACTCTGAATAGGTCTTGGGCCATTAGCCACAAAACCTCTCACCCTAGTAACCCTCCATATTCTCCAAGAGTCTTCTGGCTGATCCTTTTCCTGCCGGACCTGGAAACCACAGTGTTGGTCTTTATGTTGGAGATGCAAGAGTCACTTTGCTTAGAGCTTTGGAGTGTTTCCTTGGTTTCTGAGAGGGTCTTTCATGTTTTTCTTATCATCAAGAATGTGCCATTGGGCACACAAAGGTCAAAGGACAACTTGCATGAATCTTTTCTCCACCATAGGCGGTCTGGGGGTTGAGCCTAAATCATCAGGCTTGGTGGTAAGTGCATTTACTGTACTGGATGAATCATCTCCCAGGCCCTTATTTTTGCTTTTTCAGTTGCTGACGTTGGCCTTGAACTCCTGATCCTCCTGCTTCTACTTCCTAGGAGCTTGGATTACTGGTGTTCCTCACATAGCTGACCTGAAGAAAGACTTGAGACAGTTGTGTAGGGGTGTAAAGTGTTTTTCCTCCCTCTTGCTTCAAGTCATAGGAGCAGGCCTCAGCTATGGGATGGAGCCAGGCAATATCACCAGAAGGGCTTATTTAAACACAACTTGCTGGACTCTGCCCCACAGATTTTGAAGGTCTAGGGCAGGCATCAGAGTATGTATTTCCAACAAGTTCCCAGAGGAAGCTGATGTTGGTGGCTTGATCCAGGTGTTTCCTGTCCTTGAAGAACTACTGCTAAGACCAAGGCCTGACATTTTACAGTAGAGCTGGTCACAGTGTTGTTTTCTCTTTTCATTTGCTCTTTTTTCTTACTTGCTTGCTGGGGATGGAACCTAGGTCTCCACACTTATTAGACCAGTTGTGTACCTCTTAACTGCAGTCCCACCCCTGATGACAGGTTTATGATTAAGTTTTTACTGGAGCATAGTCTCTGGCATGTTATTTGTGGCTGCCCTGGTTTTTGTTTGTTTGATTGGTTAGTTTTTTGTACTTCTTATTTATATTAGGACTGGGTCTCACTGTGCATCCTCAGCTGGCCTGGAACTCAAAAAGATCCACCTGCTTCTGCCTCCCAAGCTCTAGGAGTAAAGATGTCCGCTGCTTCACCCAGTTTGTTTCTGTTTCTGTTTCTTTTCTTTCTTTTTTTTTTTTTAAAGATTTTTTTTATTTATCTATTATGTATACAAATTCTGCTTCCATGTATATCTGCACACCAGAAGGGGGCACCAGATCTCATAACAGATGGTTGTGAGCCACCATGTGGTTGCTGGGAATTGAACTCAGGACCTCTGGAAGAGCACCCAGTGCTCTTAACCTCTGAGCCATCACTCCAGCCCCCTGTTTCTGTTTCTTCCTCTTTTTTTTTTTTTTTTCTGGTTTGTTTGTTTGTTTTGTTATGTTTTTGGTTTTTTGTTTGTTTGTTTTTTTGAGTCAGGTTTTCTTTGTATAGCCTGGCTGGCCTGGAACTCACTTTGTAGACCAGGCTGGCCTCAAACTCACAGGTATCCACCTGCCTCTGCCTCCTGAATGCTGGAATCAAAGGAGTGTGCTAACATTGCCCAGTTAAGAAAAGAAGATATAATCCTTTAAAATTCTAGCACTGCACATAAGGACTTGTAGACGCTGGGTCTGTAGTCCACTTGGTAGAGTGCTTGCCTGGCATGTACAGAAGCCCTGCATTCAGTCCCCAACGCAATGAAACCAGACACGGAGGTGAACACCTGTAATCCTAAATACAGCACTTAGGCAGAGTGGGCAGATCAGAAGGTCATCTTCAGTTATGTAGTGAGTTCAAGGAAGCCTGGGCTATGAGATCCCGCCTAAAAACAACAAAAACCGGCAATAGTTACAAACCCAGGAAAAAGGAGAGTCTTAAGGGATTGATCTACTGATAAGGTCACCCACTAAAAGGAGAAGAGACTTAGTGCCATGTCTAATTTGCGAGCCATGTCTTTGTCTGTGGGGGTAGGGGTGTTCTTTTTGTCCATTGGAGATAAGCTAGGTCCTCCAAGAGACTGTATCTTACTGTGTTACCATCTCCCCTTCCAGCTTGGCTACCCACCCTCCAGACTGTGCGCCATGGCTCCAAGGCTGTGACCCGCCACCCTCGTGTTATGCACTTTGAGCGGCAGAAGCTAATGGCTTTAACTGAGTATATTCCTCCCAAACCTGCCATCAACCCTAGATGCCTGCCACCTCCTCCCAAGCCCCCCAAGGAGGTAAGAAGACTTAGTGTGTGTTACTTGGTGGTAGGCTAGTGAGTTTGGACTCCAAGCCATGAGGTTCCTCACATCACTAGTTCACTTCCCCACGTTGAGCCCTGTATGTGTGTGTTTATTATTACATGTGTGTATTTATTATTATATGTGTGTGTGTGAATATGGGTACACACTTGCCACTGCTCACTGTGGAGGCCAAGGGCAACTTTCAGGAGTCAGCTCTCTCTTTCCACCATGTAGTCTCTTGTTTCTGCCATGCTACCTAATTGACACTACTGGTAAGCTTCTGGTGAGACTGGTTCTCCTGTCTCTGCCTCTGCATCTTGCTGCAGGCGTGCTGTGTGTGCAGGTGTATGCAACATCAGGCTTTTTCTGTGAGTTCTGGGGATTGAATTCAGATTGTTAAGCTTGCACAGCAGGTGCTTTTACTCTCTGAGCCATTTCAGCCACCCCAGATTCTTTATAATAAAATATGCACTTGGTTCAGGACTGACACTGGGCTCTGAATTGCCTGAGCTGCTGTCTGCATTGTCTTTATTTTTATCTGTGTCCAAAAACACATATGTGAAAACTCTACAAGCAGGTGTGGGGAATTTCATGCCTGCTTTTTTTTTTTTTTTTTTTTTTTTTTTTTGTGATGGAGAGTCTTAGGACCGAGCTCTTCTGGCATTCCTGGATCCCAGTGATCTCCTAGATGCTGAGCGTGCAGGTGGAAGCTACCACACCTTGCTCTTTCCTGTTGTAAAAGGAGCTGAAGCTTCCATGTTCCTCCAAGGGATGATAGAAGTGTTTTGTCTTTTGAAAAGAACAGGAAGAAGCTGGGTGTGGTATCCCAAGCCTATAATCTTCCCATTTAGGAGATAGAAGCTGGAGGATCAGTTGTTCATGGTAGTCTTTGGCTGTATGTGGAGGTCAAGGCCAGTTCACACTATATGACAAGCTGTTTTGAAAGAACTGGCAGACTGGCACATGCCTGTAATTCCAGCACTCAGAAGGCTGAAGCAAGAAGATTGTTTATGAGTTCAAGGCTAACATGGTCTGTATAGTGTGTTCCAGATCAGCCAGGACTATAATGAGACCCTGTCTTAAAAAAAAAAAAAAAAGCGGGGAGCGGGGGAGTTAGGGACTGGAGAAATGGCTCAGCAGTTACTTGTTCTTACAGAGGTGGGGTCCTCGCACCCATGTAGTAGCTCACCGCTTCAAGTGCCACGGGATCCAGTGCCCTCCCCTGGCCTCCTAGGGCACTGTATGGGGTGCAGACATACATGTAGGCAAAGTACTAGTACACATAAAAAGAAAATGAAATCCTGGGTTGGCAAGGTAAAGGCACCTGCTACCAGCCTAGGTTCTAGGGACTGAACTCATTTCATCTAGCTTGGTGTCAAGTGCCTTTACCTACTGAGTAAAGCCTGCTCTAGCCTCCCATCACATATTTTAAATTGGTAAAATAAGATGGGCAGTGATGGCATATGCCTTTGATTGTAGCACTTGGGAAGCAGAGGCAGGCTGCTCAGAGTTCAAGGCATCATGGGCTACAGAGTGAGTGTCAGGACAGCCAGGGCTACACAGAGAAACCTTGTCTAGAAAAACAACAACAACAAAATAATAATAAAATTGAGCCAGGCTTTGGTGGCGTACGCCTTTAATCCCAGCACTCGGGAGGCAGAAGCAGGCGGATCTCTGTGAGTTCGAGGCCAGCCTGGTCTCCAGAGTGAGTGCCAGGATAGGCTCCAGAGCTACACAGAGAAACCCTTTGTCAAAAAAACATAAATAAATAAATAAATAAATAAATAAATAAATAAATAAATAAAATTGATAAAATAATTCATGATAAGTGAAGTAATTTTGTGTGTGTGTGTGTGTATGTGTGGTACTGGGAATTGAACCTGGTTTGCTGCACATGCTACATAAATGCTACCAAGTTCTGTCCCGAGCCTTTATTTTAACTTTTATTTTGAGACTGTCTCATTAAATTTCAAAATTTAGCCTTAAACTCACTCTTCAGTTCAAGCCTAAACTTTTGATTCTCCTGCCTCAGCCTCCTGAGTAGCTGGAATTAATTTGACAGGCTTGAATTACTACAGCCTGTAATTGAAGTAATTTCTGTTAAACATGATAACACGCTGCCTGCCAAGGTGTCTGCAGAAGGGCAGGTGCCCTCAGGTTTGCAGACTGCTGTGAAGCCCACAATTTTCCAGTAGAAGTAGAAAGCTTATGGCGGAGGTGTTCCGCATTGTAGGAATTAGGCCCAGCTGCCCAACCCTTTCTTCTGTCTGTTACACATTCTGGCTTCACTGACCACCCCAATGCCTATGTGGGGGAAGGGAGGGGGCCAGGAAGCCTTCCTTTCTCCTCAGCCATCCCATCCTGCCACAGGAGTCCGGCCTCATCCATCTCCTGCGTCGGGATATAGTAGCAGTTTTTCGAGACAACCGAATGATAGCCGTCTGTCAGAATGTGGCCATGAGTGCAGAGGACAAACTTCTCCTGCGGCACCGGTTGCGGAAACACAATATCTTGATAAAAATCTTCCCCAACGAGGTAGGGTTGCCCTGGCTCAGGCCTCTTTCTCCCATGCCTGCTGAGTGGACCTGGGCCCTGCCCTTCCCACAGGCAGGCTGCTTCCGGCTTCTGTCCTAGTCACCCTAAACAGACTGCCCGAGTCTGGTGCCTAACTATGTGTAGTGACTGAAGACACCCTGGGGTGGCACTTTTAGCGTGGTACAGTCTGTGCCTAAGGTGTGTGGCTTTTCTGCCTCTTGTCCCCCTGAGCCATTCTTTTCTGTGATCCCAGGTCCTGAAGCCTTTTCTAGGAGATTCCAAATACCAAAACCTGCTTCCCCTTTTTATTGGGCACAATATGCTGCTGGTCAGTGAGGAGCCCAAGGTCAAGGAAATGGTGCGGATCCTAAAGAGCGTTCCTTTTCTGCCGCTGCTGGGTGAGTGGCTGCCCTGCAGTTAGAGCCGGGGAAGTAGGTGGGTGGCCCAGAACCTCTGCTGGATGAGGCCTGAGTCAGCACATTCTGGGACGACTGTGTCACTCAACACCTGTGCTGTGTCACTGCCCACATCCTTTCTATACTGGAGGAAAGAGCATAAGGTATCTCCCAGTGAGGAGAGGGGAGGGCATTGTGGCAAAGTACAAGGGGGCCTTGGCGGATTCCATGACAAACGAGAGTGACTGAGACAGAGCTTAGTGAGAAGATTTATTAGAAGGGAAAGGGGGGGAGGAAGAGAAGAGGGAGATAGGAACAGTCCTGTCTGCCCCAGGGGAACAGAAGGAAAGAGAGCGTAAGTGGGCGGGGGTCTGTCTTTTAAAGGGGTCCTTTGCACCTGCGTGCAGACTAGTAGGCATGGAACCCTGGGCTGACCAGGGCACTGCCTGAGAGCGTCCTGCCAGGGGTCAGGGGCAGGTATCAGTATGTCTTGGACCAGCGGTGTGGCTCAGCAGGTTAAGGTCATGCTTGGTTCATTTGCCATGACCCACATAGTGGGAGGAAAGAACCGAGTCCTATAAGTTGTCTGTGGTATGTGCATGCCCCACCCATAAACAAACCATTTAAAGATAATAAGAAAACAAATATCTCAAATAAGGATGCATGAGGGCCAGTGCTGTGACCAGTGTGCTTTGGGTTCATTCTGTAGAGGAAACTGTCTGTGTCCCCAGAAAATTCAGATTTCCCAGGAATCTGTATTTATAGTCACACACCCTTTACATTCCAGGATGTTCTTTCCCTAGTACTTCATTGCAGAATACACAGAGCCTGCCGTGCCCAGTCCTGGTTTGTATGTCCATAGTTGAGCAGTGTTAGACACATGCGTAGTGTTGGGCAGCTCCGTCACTGTGTATCTGGGTCATTGAGACGGCAGCTCCATTTCTTCACTCAAGAAGTTTCGGAGCCACTGATTTTAGGGTGTTTGAGACTAGCTGTGTGTTTTGTCATGTTTTCAGGGAAAGAGAGGAAGGGGATTGATGCCCAACATGGGAATGGGATGAGGTACAAATGTGACCCTGATTTTAGGGCCAACTGGGAAGGGAGAAGGGCCCTGGGGAGCAGGTTCTTGGGGTGGGATGATGCCTGTCAAACAAGAAGGGCTTTGCAGGGAGCCCAGCTGACCCTGTGTTCTTCCAGGTGGCTGTGTGGATGACACCATCCTCAGCAGGCAGGGATTCGTAGAGTATGCCAAGCTGCCCAGCCTGGACCTGCTGCAAGGGGAGCTGGTAGGAGGACTTACTGGCCTCATGGCCCAGACCCACTACCTGCTTCAGCACCAGCCTGCCCAGCTGACTTCCCTGCTGGATCAGTATATCAAACAGCAACAGGAGGGAGAGTCTACCACGTCAGCCAGTGGGACACCACCTCCTTCTGACCTGACTCCAGATTCCTAGCCCACCTGTTTTACCCAGTTCTGCCCATAAATACACTCTGTCCCTGCTGTCTGTGTTGTCTGGCAGAGGTCTAAAAGAATCAGGAGTGTGGGAATGGCATGTGTGCCTTGGCTCTCATTCACAATGACCTCCTTGGGGACAGGCCTCTTGGAAGAATCAGAGAAATTCCATTTCAAATTGAGGCTGTCCATTGTCTTCAGTTTCACTAGTCACTGTCTTTAGTTGTCCCAACAAGGGACCTAATAGGAATAGTCTCCTTCAGTTCTCCAGGTACAAAGCAGACAGGGATGGAGAGTCTTGCCCAGCCTTGTCATCTCCTGTCCCTGCTCTGTGTCTTCCCAGCCCACCCTGTCGTTCCTCCGAATGCCACAATGGACCTTGTGAATGGCACTGAGTCACGGGCCAAGTACCATACTAAACCCAGATGCCAGCTCCTTTATCTCTTACCATTCAGGAAACCGCAGAGTTGGAAATCCTGGATAAGGCCTTGAGCTTGGTTCTCAGAAGTCTCAAGTTCCCATAGCAGAGCTTCTTCATAAAGTTACCCAGGAGTGGGTCCTGGGTAGACTCTGAGGTTCCTGGTCCACCCTGAGGTGTGCTGGGTTGTGGAAGAAGTTGGAAAACTTATTTGTTATAAAAATAAAATGCATTTTATGGACTCTTGTCATGTTTTTAAGATTTATGTGTAAAACTGTGCCTACATTTATATCTATGTATCTATGGCATGTGTGCCTCGTACCCACAGAGGTCAGAAGAGGGAACTAGCATTGCCGGTGGGGAGAGCTGCCATGTGGGTGGGAAAACGAGCCTGAGTCCTCCAGAAGAGCAACAAGTGCTCACAGCCCTGGAGTGCTCCAAGCCCGGACTCTTGATCTCTGGGTTACCTCAAGTCATCTCTAAATTCTCACTTTCCTTCCTAAAACATCCTCTTCCCTAGTCACCTGCCCTTATAGATGTCACTCTTACCTGCTTTTCCTTACAAAGGCCGTGGCTAGTAGCACAAAGATCTGGGGGAAGTAGAATTCTTTTTTAATATGGGTTCTGAGGACTATGGCAGGAGGCCTTCCCCTTGTGTTAGGGAACGGCACCTCTAACAAGGAAGGAAGATGCTTAGCCTGTGGCCTGCATTGTTCTTGATTGGAACACATCCTCGGTGGATCAGGGTTGAATGAGGAGCGGCTCCTCTGCATTCTTTCCCAGATGTGGAGTAAAGCCACAGCGTCTTTAGTCCTGGACACTGGTGTTGAAGATCTGCAGCAGCTATCCCCTGGCCTGGACCAGGACCAACTTCTTACAATGCCCAGCTCTGCGGATGCCCAGGGATGCTCAGTCATGTAAAAGGCCCTGAGGCTCTAGATGTCAGCAGCTCTGCCCGGTGCCACTGGGTGGCTCTGCTTCCAGAGGCCTGCCCACTGCTGCCCACAGCACTCCTCCCTCCTGGAAGGCTATGTCCATGCTGAGGCTCTGAAGGGGGGCCAGACAGACGGTATCCTGGAAGTGTGCAGTCTGACAAGGTGGAGCGGACAAGTGGCCCACATCATTTCTGAGGCCATAGAAGAGCCTTTGTAGCCACACCCTCCGGTGGTGCCTCCATTTCTCAGGCACTGACCTGTCAGTGCTCATCCATTTGGATGAATTGTAGGTATTTCTCAAGAGCCAATTCTTAATTACTTCAGCAACTGAACACAGTGCTCCAGCAGTGGTTAAAGGTGTCTGAGGGACCCTCAAGTTGGCTTTCCTTTGTAACAGCCAGCTGGTGACTGCCCCATAGTTCTCTCTCCCCACAGATTGACTGCACCGGCATTCCTGATCCCACAGCGGCCGACCTGGCAGGGCATTGCTCTCGGTGAATAGCCTCTGTGGGGCTTCAGCTGTCCCTCTTCCCTTGAGTGCCCTGCTGACTTTGCTTCTGGCACAGTTTGTCGGGTCCCAGAGTATGCAGGGGTAGTGTGAGGTGGGAGGCTGTCTCTGTCCCTTCCCAGTCAACCAGATATCTTTGCCATCTATTTTAGGTGTAAAACGAGAGGCAGGGTGAATTAGGAAATGGCCTTGAGTGCTCGCCCGGGTCAAAGCCATGCTAGCAGGAATAAATCCTTTACCTCCAAGGGCTTGAAGCCAGCAATTTTCCAGTCCTCTGATCCATGTAGAACTATGCCCAATGGGGACTGTGCCCCTCATTTCCAAGTCATTTGGTACCACTCCGTCCTTAGTCCTCCCGGGAGCAGGGGGGCAGAGCTGAGCGGCAGCCCGGAGCTTGGCGGGAGGAGGCGACGGGGGAGGGGCAGGTGGGGAGATCCGGCTGGAGGGGAGGCTCCGACGTCTCCTTCCTTCCTGGTTCCTGCAGCAGCTGCTGCCACTGCTCAGCTCCGTGAAGAGGTAGCCGGTGACTCGGGGACAGTGACTCAGAGGCAGATCAGTGTACGGACCAAGAAGCACTGGCTTCCATGGACCCTGGGGTAAGGGGGCCTTGCTGGCACCACCTGACATTCCTGGGAGGGCTGCCTCTCTTCTGGAGCTGGTGGGTCTGCTCCTCCAGTAAAGAGGAGGAGAATGGAGGTGCTTGGGAGACACTCACCTGGCTCATCTCCACTTCTCCTTTCTACTGGTAGACACCTCCCACCTCTGCTGGGGGCCGGCAGTGAATGGCCCAGATCCTAAGGGCCAGAACAAGGGCATAGAAATACCCAAACACCGGAAGAGTTTGGAAACTTTGAATGGCTGAATGCAGGAGTTTCCCCTTGGGTCAGCTTCTTGCAGCCTGGGTCTTTCTGCTGTGATCTCCTGGCCATACTTAGACTGCCACTTCCCTGTCCCTTCCGGGCCTCAACTCCTCAGGTGCTTGCTAGCTGCATAAAGCTCTGAGCTGCTTCCCCAGACACAGGGCAACATCACCCCTCCCCCTTCTCATACACACACAGCCTTATGCATTATTGATCTCCTAGCGGAGCCAGGATGGCCAGAGCCAGTGCCAAGGGCGCCTGTGGGCACTGCTGCGGGACCTGAGTGGATCTGGACATTCCTGGCCACCTCTTCTCCCACCCACATTGTCTCAGCCAGCCAGTGTCTTGCTCCTTCTTGGTGGGAGGTGCTTCTAAGGGCTAACAGTAGAAAGGGGCAGGGAAAAACAATCCAAGGTGGGTGTCCTCGGGGCATGTTTGGTGGGAGGAGGTATTTGAAAATAGGGCTGCTTCAGACCTCTGTTTCCCCTTGCAGAAGATGGGAGCACAAGAATTGGCAGCTAAGGGGCCAACTAGTAGAAATTTGAAGGGTGGTCTTCAGGGCAATTGTGGCAGAGGAGTGGCCAAGCCGTGGAGGTAGGCAAAGAGATCCAGAGGGAAAGACAGCTGGGCTGAGGAGTTCCTTCCTCCCTAACCTCTGGGTCCTTTCATCTCTTCCTGGACCCTCTTCTTTCTTCCCTCCCCAGCCTCAAGAAAGCAGCATTTCTTGGATTCCTGGGGTGATGCCCAAGGAGGAGCCACATGCTGGGAGCTAGTTAGCCCTCCTGGCAGTGGCCACAGTGGGGGTTGAGTTGGGTGCTGTTGCCTAGGTCCATGGCGGTATCAGGGCATACTGGGGGTGTGGGGATGGCGCGTGAGTGGAGGCTATGTATCTTAGTGCAGGAGGGACCAACGGTGGGGAACATGACAGCAGGGCGGTACTCACGGGTCTCTCTTTTCTTCAAGGGACCCCCCAGGAGAAGGTGACATTCTTCCCTTTGCTCCACCCTCCTCATCAGGGAGTACCCTCTCCTTCCTCATGGACTTCCAAGAAAAAGACACTCCCTCCCTGGCCGAGAGTACTCAGTCCTCAAAGCCCAGCAGTACCCAGCAGGTCTGAGTAGAAAAGCATGGCGGCAGTGGAGGTGGGGGGCTGGCTCGGGTTCCTGGAGGGGAGGTAGGGGGCTCACCACCCGAGGGCCTCCATCTACCCTGGATCTCAGGCCTCTGAGCTGTGGGAGGTGGTGGAGGAGCCCCGGGGCAGACTGGGAGCCGAGGACATCATGCCTGAGAGACAGGAAGGACACCTGCTCAAGAAGAGGAAGTGGCCTCTTAAGGGCTGGCACAAGGTAGGGAGGCCAGGGAGGAGCTACCCGTGGGAGGCTATGGGACAGCTCTGTGTGGTGAAGGAGGAGGCAAATGTGTGTGTTTGCTCTCTCCCTACCCCGTGCTGTTGGCTGCCCGGTCCTGCCCGGTCCTGCAGAGGTACTTCGTGCTCGAGGACGGGATCCTCCAGTATGCCACAACGCGACAGGATGTAAGTCAGGTTCCAGGTTGGGGTGTGGGGGAAGTCTGCCCTAGAACGTAATCCAGAGCAGGTCTGAATCTCACTCAGTTCCACTTGTCAGCAACCTCTGTCAAGTAACTGTTGGCTTTCTGCATCCTTAGGCTCCACATCTGCAGATTCAACAATTTATTTATTTATTTTTGTTTTTTTTTTTATTTTTCTCTGTGTAACAGTCCTGGCTGGCCTCGAACTTGCTTTGTAGACCAGGCAGGCTGGCCTCGAACTCAGAGGTCCGCCTGCTTCTGCCTCACAAGTGCTGGGATTAAAGCTCCAGTCGCGGTTGCTGCAACCACCATCTGGCAGATTCAACAATTTAAATACACACACACACACACACACACACACACACACACACACACACACCCTTTGAAAGTATATCTATACTGAACACATATAGGTTTTCTTTTTTTTAATAATTTATTATTTTTATTTTATGTGCATTAGTGTTTTGTTTGCATGTATGTCTGTGGGGTGTCAGATCCCCTGAAACTGGAGTTACAGACAGTTGTGAACTGTCATATGGGTGCCGGGAATTGAACCTGGGTCCTCTGGAAGAACAGCCGGTGTTCTTAACTGCTGAGCCATCTTTCCAGCCCCCACATATAGGTTTTCTTCTTACCACGATTCCCTAAAGATTAGAATCACCATTCCCACAGCATTCCCATGGCATTCATTAGGTATCAGAAGTCATCTAGAAATGGCTAAGGGCACAGAGATGGTATATAGGTTATGTGTAGAAACTGTACCTTTTTACTGTTAGAGATGAGCGTGTGTGCATTTTGGTTTCCTTTGTGGCTCCTAGAACCCCTGGGCCTCAACCTTCTTCCTGCTGACACAGGGTGGGAAACACACTCTGACACCTGTGCAGTTATCTCAATGGTGCCATTGCAAACTAAGCACCTGAGCTTTGTCACTCTTGTCATTGTCCTGAAGTTGGACTCTCAGGTTCCTTCCAATGGATGTTCTTTCTTCTGCCATGTAGATTTCCAGGGTATTTTTTCTTGCGTGATGACTTCTCAGACTGGCATGAAATTCAACATAGTGTAGTGTTCTATGCATATGAGATGATGAACAAGCCCCTTTACAGATGACTTAAGGGCTTGGTCCTTGAGTCTAGAGTGGCCTCAAGGAGATGGTGACTCTGTGCTTCTGGGAGCCTCAAACCAGTCCCCTGTCTCCTACCAACCCTCTACTCCAGATCACCAAGGGGAAGCTCCACGGTTCCATTGATGTCCGTCTATCAGTCATGTCCATCAACAAAAAGGCCCAGCGCATTGACCTTGACACAGAAGACAACATCTACCACCTAAAGGTGACATCCCTGGGAACAAAGTGTTCTGAGGACTAGCCTGGCAGAGGTACCAGGGCACACACATAGGAGCTCAGGGGGTCTTCTCTGAGTTTGACAAGAAGAAAGTTTCCATTGTGTGAAATAGCCAGGAGTGGACCTACTCTGTGGCTGGCTGTTATATGAATAGATACAGAGCTGGGAACTCTACACTTGGAGTGTCATACTTTGTCTGCAATAGCATTTTGTACAAACTGGGTGCCCTAGGGAAATTCCCTGCTTGCCCGGAGGTCAGAGACCTGACATTTTGCTTCTGGAAAGAGATCCCTCCCTTCTGATCTCTCTCCATTATTTCTGCAGATCAAATCCCAAGACCTGTTCCAAAGCTGGGTGGCCCAGCTCCGAGCCCACCGCTTGGCCCAGCGCCTGGACATGCCTGGTGCCACTCATCGGAAGGTGAGATGGGCCCAGGAGTGAGGGCGGGTAATGTGAAGATTTAAGAATGGAGACTGTGGGGAACGGAGACCCAGAGAGCTGGCTGTCATCTTTGCTGACCCTTGGCTTACCCCCACAGGCTCCTGGTACCCAGATGCTAACAGCGGGTAGTGCCTCAGCCTTACCTGGGGTTGGCCCTCGAGAGAAAGTGTCATCCTGGCTGAGGGACAGTGACGGACTAGACCGCTGCTCTCACGGTGAGGGTCCCTGGCCAAGGGCCTCTGTGGGTAGGGCCCATGTTCTCAGATCTAGGCAATATCAACACAACAGGAAAATGTTACCTCAATCACTTCCTCAGAAGGAACCCCTCTGCTGGGGGAGACACCCTCTACCTCCAAGATGGTCAAATCTTCTTAATGCTTCAAGGAGCCCCAACTTACAGAAGTTAGTAGGCTAATGCCTGCATAGAAGGAACAGAGGCTTTTGCCTGAGGCCAGTGCAGCAAAATTTCTGAATAGCAACAGAGAAAGGCTGTGCCCTAGAATTGTATTCCTGCAGCAGGAGACCGAGATAGTGACCCAGAGAGGGTAGTGTGTATAAATAAGGAGAGACAGTAACGACACCCAGCCTGGCACAGGCACAAGAGGGAGGGGTAGTCAGCAGACAGAGTAGGGTAGACTACTGACCTCCCAGAAAATTTAAAGTAGCTACATCACAGAATTGAAAATGGTTTGAGCTCCTAAACAAAGAGGAAGCAGTGTCCGACTCTCCCTGGCTGCCAGCCATGTCTTTGGATGGACAAACTGAGGGGACAGACTGGAAACTGGTACCTCGAAGAGAGCAATGTCCCTTCCTTCCTTTTCCCCCAGCACTCTTGGAATGCCAGGGTAAGCTCCAGGAACTACACAAACTCCTTCAGAGCCTGGAATCCCTACACCGAATCCCCTCTGCCCCTGTGATCCCCACACACCAGGTAAGGGTCAAGGGAGGAGGCAGGAACTGCTCAGGGTGCTCATCCCCATGATTTCATGGGGCAAAGCTGCCTGCCTCATACCTATCCAGAAGCCTCCAGGCTGTTTCTTTGCTCCTTTTGTCTGGGTCACTGCCAGCATGCCATGCCCATGTGCCCGGACGATCTGTGCTCTCCTCCATGGCCTTTCCCAACTCTGTGAGTGAAATTACTCCTTCTCAACTTACCAGGCCTCGGTGACAACTGAGAGACCCAAGAAGGGGAAACGGACCAGTCGCATGTGGTGCACACAGGGCTTTTCTAAGGATGACACCATTGGACGGGTGAGATGGGGTTACAAGCCCCAAGTTCCAGGGACTCAATGCCCTGGAGGAAGCTGTCCCGTCATCCTTCATGTTCACTGACAGGTTGGTCGTCTCCATGGCTCTGTTCCTAACCTGTCTCGGTACCTGGAGTCTCGGGACTCTTC